AGTCAGGTGGAATGGATGTGCTCCCAGGTGACCGCCATGAGTAGTGTGTACAAATTTGGCAGCTCTGGCTCTCAGTCGTCATTCTCTCGGTCCACAGTGCAAGATGGTACACTTTACAGGAAGTAGGAGTGCTTTAATATGCTTAGACCAACAACTGCTAACTGCTGCATAAATATGCTACCTGAAGTGATGGAAATTTACTTTCTTAGTTCTCGGGGTTGTAACAGGAACTGAGTGAGCAGTACAAAGCAAACAGTGGACACATGGGAGTCAGTTTTATGAGTTTATTTCTCTTTTTCTTTGTGTTCATTCTGAAAACAGTCACAGTCCTTGCATGCTTGGCCAGTTAAGCTGATTCTAATTCAGGCTCAGGTTCAGTAATGCATCAAGAAATGCTTTTTAATCACTAGTTAATTAGATGTTAAGAAGAAATAATTACCTCCTGCAATGAAGTTATGTTTCTGGCAGTATTTGTGTGCGTCGTTAAGCAGGATAGCTCGAAAAGTTTTGAATGAATTCTGATAAAACGTGTAAAGTGGGGTCTCGTTATCAAGTCATTCTAATTTGACACACATCCACCAAGGTCTTCAAGCTCCACTCAATGATCTATTGGTTAAAAAATGTTTTATATCATCAAAGAACGTATTGTTGAGAGAAATAAAACGAGCTGCCTGTTTTTATATATACTATAGTATAATATTAAATATTAAGCTCAAGATATTCATGTTCAGTTACTTACAAATCAGTAAATTTCAACCTACGTAATGTTTGTGTAATCAACCTAAACATCTGTCACGGTACCCTTATCTGATTTTTTTTTTACCACACGCAGAAGACTAAATGAATATATCCATCCTTTCTCTACGGCTTATCCTTGTCAGGGTCACGGGGGGCTGGAGCCTATCCCAACTACCTTGGACAGGACAGGCTAACAAAAATGAATATATAGAAAATACAGTATCATTCCCTTACAAGTAAACACTATCCGGAGAGTGGCAGAGGTTTTCGCTCTTGTTATACTATGTTGTTACTAAGCAACAGCGAATTGTTGAGTTTATTTGATAGTTTACATTAACTTTAAATGTAAATTTCTTCTATGTGCATTATGTTTTAAGCTTGACAGAGATGCAGTTTATTTCCTAAACACCTCAGTAAAGCAGCTTCCATGCAGATTAAAAAGCAGATAGTTAAACAGTCTAATGTTGCAAGCTTATTGGAAATCCATCTACATACTTTCACCACATGTGTATTTCTTCATAGACTTTCCTTCCAACTCGCCTCTGAAGAGGGCAGCCTGTAATTTCAGTGTAATTGCTATCTGTGCTGCTGATCTGCAGGTGGGATGCTTTTTCATTCTTTCCTTTTTCTGTTTGTTGATATTTTAATTTTAAATATTGTTTTCAGCCTTATGGTGTTGTGAATCCACTTTAAATAAAAAAACAAATTTTGTTCCAGTTGTTTACAACTTTAGCTGATGTGAGGTAATGGCTTTATAAAACACTTCATACTCATTAAGCCCCTGAAACCATTTTTGTAGCATGGCTGGTAGCGTTTTACCTGATAATAAATTTCACTTGTGTCTCCCCACCCCCACCTGTCCTCATTATGTTTCACATGCAGTTGCACAGCGATCTTTGTGACTCAGCACCGGCCTCTAAGTATTAAGGCTGAGATGATGATCAGTCAAACAAAAAAGGCAACAGTGGCCGAGGTAGCCTGCAGTGATATAGAAATAAGGAATATGTGGAATCAGTGGGAGGGATTTAAGTATGTTATATGATACGTTGTCAGTAACATCTACTTTCCTGTTCCCCTGGGTGCAGCCTGGAGTGTTCCAGCAATTTATTTATTTTTTCTTACGACCCTGAAAGAAACCTAACCAGATTTGACCTTCTCTTTTTAAAAATCTGGAGATAAATTGAAGTCTCTGTTCTTTTTTTATAGTTATATTATAATGATTCTCCCTAAGACATTTCTTTTGATGCTCTAAAAGTTATCTGTAAACATCTTATCATGTAACCGTCCTATTTTTGCTCCTAGAAACTGAATTATTTTGGTGACCTCAGATTTAATGTTGATAGTGCACCTGATTCTGCAGTCACATAGCTGGGTAACTGACTAATGAAGATTTATATGGAGATATTTCATCCATGAAGAGTTGAAATATTCAGCCGCTTGAGTCTGGTCAGTAAAAGATTCAAAACTTTGCTTTGAGTACTAATCTTTGAGTGAACCTATAGCCAAATGTATACAGTATAGAAAGAAAGCGATGGCTGCCCCCCTTTCTCCCTCCTATTACACCAGGTACTGACGCAGTTTTGGACGTCCAAAATCCTCAGTCTGTTTTTGTATGTGGTAAAATAGCTGAACTTTGAGCTTTCAGCCAAGGTAATTTATCTTCGGTGTTAAGCTGGGTGCCTATCTCAGCAGCTCCTCTGCTAGCTGAGGCTGCTAATTAATCTCCTAGGGGGCCGGCGCAGACACACTGCTCTCAGAGTGATGCATGAATGGAACACAGCAGCACAGGTACAGCCCCAACCCTCTTTCTGCCTCACCTAGTCTTTCAGATCTTCTTGATCTTATTATATCTCTATCATTATTGTGTTTTCTTTCTCTAACCTCCTTCATTATTCCCCCTACCATCTCTTCTAGCTGTTCTTTTTCCCCTGCGTGTCCTCCATCATTCTCGATTTCAACAATTCAAAAGCGGCTTCATGGTTGTTAATCAGTCCAGGCACTCAGACGAGTCATCTTTGCATTGACCTAAATAACTGCTGATCTACTTTAGGTAGGATGAGGCTTTTGAAAGTTTCCGATTTGTTTCATGAATCAGCTGCAAGAATGAGTCATGATGGTCAGCAGTAGGTCCAGTAATCGACATGCAGCAGACAATAAAAATAAAACCCTCATTTCCACACATGACTCAGAAATGGTAATGGATGATGATGAAACATCCTGTTGTTAAAAGTTGTTCAGCAGATTCAGTTTACTAGTGCTTTAACTGAGCAAGAGGCAGCATTATGTGATTGACAGTTTTCATCTAATGACTGAACACGGTCGTCCATCTGTGAAGTCTGCGCTTATTCAGTCAGGCTTACCCGAGTAGCCCTAAAGCTTTACGCCACCAACATTTACAGGCACAGCGTTCATGGGTGTCCATTATAGTGCTTCTGCAGTTAGTACTGAAGTTGGTCTGGAAGTTGTTAAGGTTTACCCTCTGCAGTTGACAGTACGGATTTCTCATGGCTGGTTGTTGTATGCACCAGATGTCAGTTTTATATCTTCATTACATGATGTCCATAACAAATAAATCCCAGCTGCCAAGTCC